TCATTTCATCATCATCACAGCTCCACGAGGCAGGTTTTATTATCCCCATTTCTATGGATAAGAATATTTTGATACACGCCAATAGACTTGTCCAAGATCACAAACTAATAAAGGAGGACCAGTGTTTCAGTTATGGTCTGTCTGACTCCAGATCAGGGATTTCTGGATTCTTCATGTGCATTTCTGAATTCACTCAGGAGAGTGCCCTGAGTTGAGTTCTCATGTGCTCACCCTTCAAGGTCCTCTCTGGCTTCCACCGGAGCTTGGCGATCGGGGCCAGGAGGTGTGCACATAAGAGGTCATTCCTCTGTTAAGTCCTACCATTATCCTGACCGTCACAGCCTGGATCCTGTGATGCACGGACATTCCTTCCTTCTCCTCTTGTTCTAGATCACCTTTTGTTTCTAGCACTGTCTCTGTTGGGCACAGTTTTGGCTGTCAGTAACAAAACTTTACTTGGATAAGCCTTAACAATAAAGAGAATGTATTGCCTCAGGTAACTGAAAAGTACAGAGAGAAGATGACTTCTGGGTATGGTTTGTCCAGGACGCTGGTTCCATTTCTATGGGATTCCCTCAGCTCTGCCTTTCTCTCTGTGTTAGTTTTAGTCCTTGTACCGATTTGCCATTTATGGTAGCGAAATGACGTCCAGCAGCGATAAGACTACATGCTTGCTCTTCCCACTGTGATTAAACAGCCTGCCTGAACTTGGCTCTGAGTGGATCATCTTAGGTCACATTTGTCCCCTTGAACCTGTCATGGGGCAATAGGGACAATCCCTGGGGGGAAGGGTGAATGCTTTCTTTCCCTTCCCTCGCCTCCACTTTGGTCCCCAGGTTTAAGTGGATTCTTCTGCAGGGATGTGCAGAGATGCTGATGTGGACAAAAAGCTGACACAGACCAAAATAGATATGCTCATGGCCATACTACACCCTGCACATGGTCTTAGAAGCTGCCATTTTAAAGACAGGGTGACGAGAGGCCTCCACATTTTGCCAGCAGATTGGCATTCAGGCTGCACATGTCATGACCATCTTTGTGGCACTGGATATTCTGTACAGAATGGAAAAGTGCTTTCCCATTAGGAACGTTATAGATCATTTGTGAGGAAGTGGTTAGAAGTGGGAAGCGAGGTGTGGGAGACAATTGGGTGGGCAGACTTGCTGGGACATTTTCAGTGGGTAAAACATTATCCTGTGCTCACACATATGTGCCCTTCCCCCTCCTCAGTGCAATGCTCTTTCCTACTGTGGAGGGAAAGATTCTTTCCAACTCTTGACCTTCAGATCTCATCTTCCCACTGGAGACCTAAGCTACACTGCTGCTCCTCCAGAGGGGCTACTTCCCCTCTACTATTCGGGCTTGAGGGTAGACCAGACTCTTTCCTCATACCTCCGTCATTAGTCTAAATAGACTAGAATGCTGAACCCACTTGACTGAGGGCTTAGGAAATGCAGAAGAGAATTATACACAAGAGGGGCTTAAAGACAGATATTAAGACATGGCTGCTCAAAAAAAAAAAGAAAAAAAAAGAAACGGCTGCTCCTGTCCTGGGTTTTCGTGGTGGGTCCCTTGCAAGGACTTCCCATCCAGTGACTGCTGCCCCCTTGTGGCAAACACTCTCTTTCCCTGTAGCCGCAGCTTGCACTTAACTGCCTATAGGCGTTTTGTAGTCCAGGCTCCAGACAGTCTGTTTTCTCCTATGTCCAGTCACTACTTTCTGCCTCAGGAGCTACCTTTTCCCGTGATGACTAATAGGGGGAATGTCCACTTCCTTCAGGGACTTGCACGTCTTTAAGTCCTTTCTAGTCTAGGCATCAGCTCACAATAGTCCCACAGAAGTAAAAGCAAAGCATGGGTAGCCCCAGGCAATGGTCTCCTACACTTCCTGCTACTATTTATACATGATAAGAGAACACAGGTGGAGAGCATGACTTAGCTTAAAAAATATGCTTGCCAGGGGCAGAACTGTAGGCACCAGTGGCAAGATAAATTTGGCATTTATAGGCAGGGGCATAATTTACACTTGAACAGATCAGTGCTAACTCTAAACAGTAGAGGAAGGCTGGGAAAGGACAACGCCAGGCAGACCAGCCTGGCTGTATGAAGTGAAGCTTCCAGGCATACCTTAAGTATGACCCTGTGCCTGGCGGTGACAGACATTCTGAATCCTGGTGGTGATCCACGATCCAGAAATCACAGGAGATATGTCTAGTGTCATTTATTGCACAACCATTGATTGAGCACTTACTTGTTCCCTGGTGGAGGATCCCAAGATGACTTGGAGCGGGTCCCTGCTCTCTAGCTGTCCACTGTCTAGCGTGGAAGGCTGGCTGGTAAACACAGCGCTGGAGTACAGTAGGTTCATGTTATAACGAAGAAGTGATTATAGTACCTGAGGTGTAAAGCCAGGGGACAGACAGCCACTGGGGGCAGCTGAGGCAGGTTCTCAGCGAAGCCATCCTTCAGGACTGAGAGAGAAGCAGAATGACACGAACCCCACTTCCTCCATTCACTAATTGCCTCAGCTCCAATAGTCCCCCTGTTGTCCAGCCAGACTCCAGGTGGCCCATGCTCCCAGCCCTAGGGCCATTCACATCAACCAGTTGTTGGCAGTGGTTGTGCAAAGGCACAGCTGGTGTGAGTGGGGTTAATTCTCCCTCCACATCTCTATCAACGTCTCCACCAACCCCCTGGTCACCCCAAAGAAGCTTACAATATGAGAAAAAGTTATATGCTTTTTGTGCAAACACAGTCTTCCATCTGCTTCCCACCAGATTGCCCCAAAATTGCTCCGAGGTGGAGAACCCCTGTGAACCTTCTTCCAGTGGACTCCTTCTGACGCCTCTACTGTAAATAGCCAAATCCTTTCCCTTTATTGGTGTCAGGCAAGTGGAAACTTTCGAAGGTGGTCTGCGAGGGAAGGTAAGGAATAAATAAATAGAAATAAATCCTAGAAAAGGAAGACAATAAAAACAGTCATCCAAAGAGTGGAGAATTCAGATACTGACTTTAACTCCATCTTCATGCCTGGTGTCCCTACTTCCACATATGGACCCGCGGATCTCTGACAGGGCTGTGAGCCTTGACTGAACATGTTCTCCAAATGCAGACATGGGAAGGGCTCAAAGAGGAGACTATGACAAAGCATCCTTATTTCCCTTTATTCATTAAGTTCCCTCTAGCTGTTAAGTCATTCTGGTTTTTGAGCTTCAGGCTCTTACAGCTGGTGCCTCAGGTAGGAAGCCACCTCTGGTGGCCAGGACTTTCTTGGGGGTGGGGAGACTTGGTTTGGCTGTATTTTATAAAATGCATCGATTTATCTGGGACCTGAAGATTTCTGCTCAGTTGGCTTTCTGCCTCCCCCCTTGGGACCATGTGCTCTATTCTGACCTCATGCATGGCTGCTCCTCCTTGGACACCTCTCCCTTTTGCAAGGAAGAGGCTGACATCTCCCCAATTTGATGTTTGTTGCTTTGCCCTAAGACTTTGTTTTCTGTGAAACTGCAGTACTGGCAGGAGACAATGCACTAAAATGTGTGGATCTGAATGAACTTATAGAACCTCAGGCCTGGAAGCAACTCATGGGTTATCTATTCTGCCTCCCTAATTTGCAGATGAGAAAATTGAAATCTAGAGAGGTAAAAGGACCCCCTTGAGGTCACACCTAATTAATGATAGAATCAGTACTGGATTCAAGGTATCTTTATTTCCAGTCTTGGTAACTTTCCAAAAGTTTTTAGACTGTTCTCTGATTAGTTCTGGGGTCTGGGGGACCCCCTGAGCAGGTGCCTGGATGGAGAGAGCAGCATACCTCCCTCCCCAGCAGATGAAGCTTTAGCTGCTTTACACATTGGGCTTCTGGTAAGATTTTACTTCAACAAGGTGTTTCACAGTTTAAAGAGATATTTGAAAATGCTGAATGTTCTGTGGATCTTTAGGGGGTGATTTCAGGGACCGAGTTGGAGACTTCTCTCAAAAGCTTACACTTCCTTTAGAGTGAGGACCAACACATTTATTGCTCCTTTAGAGAGAAGGCTTGAAATGCAATTGAATGCTTCGTTGTTATCATTTCTTTCCCTCAGTAGATTTTGAGAAGGTTAAACTGAATCAGGAACAACACAAGAGGGGAAATAACACAGAAAGAGATAACTGGGGATGGGTTTTCCTCCTTCTAAATTTTGCTTACCACTGGCCTTTCCTGAATGTCCAGGACCAATCTGGTCTTCCCGTCTGAGTGCACGAACAGGGCTGAGGGTGACGAAGGCTGAAGAGAGGGCAGAGGGGGAGTTGTAGGTAGACTCGAGGCAGTTGCAGGGCTGACCAATGGCCAAGGTTTTTTCCTTATAGTTCATCTCATCCCACATCCAGACCAGGCCCTGGAGTTGTGAAAGGTTGACAACACTGCCAGGTGACACTGACTTCACTGACTTCCAATGGAGTCCAAGGTAGAGGTTAAGGAAGGGATCTCCAGTTGCCAAAGCAACAGAGAAGCAAAAGATGTCCCAGTAACTATTCCCAATTCTTTTTTTTCTTTTTTTTTTTTCTTTTTAAATATGTGTTTATTGATTTCAGAGGAGGGAAAGGAGAGGGAGAGAGAGATAGAAACATCAATGATGAGTCATTGATCGGCTGCCTCCTGCATCCCCCCAACTGGGAATCGAGCCTGCAACCTGGGCATGTGCCCTGACTGGGAATTGAACCCCGATCACCTGGATCCTAGGTCAATGCTCAATCTCTGAGCCACGCCCGGCAGGGCTATTCCCACATTCTTGATGAGAGTGACTTTAATCCGAGTTATAAATCACAGTTCTTTCCTAATCTTTCCACTAGATCAAATCTTGGTTTTCTTCATGGATTATGACTGGAATGAGTTTGAAAATTTCACTGGCACACCACCCACAGAGAGAGATTATAGTCCCTGTCCCATAGACACTGAGACAGTCAACAAGTATGCTGTGGTAGTCATCTATGTCCTGGTCTTCCTGCTGAGCCTGCTGGGAAACTCCCTGGTGATGCTGGTCATCTTACAAAGCCGGGTCAGGCGCTCCGTCACTGATGTCTACCTGCTCAACCTGGCCATGGCCGATCTGCTCTTTGCCATGACCTTGCCTATCTGGGCCACTTCCAGGGCAAAGGGCTGGATCTTTGGCACATTCCTGTGTAAGGCGGCCTCGCTCCTGAAGGAAGTCAACTTCTACAGTGGTATTCTACTACTGGCCTGCATCAGCGTGGACCGTTACCTGGCCATTGTTCATGCCACACGCACACTAACTCAGAAGCGACACTGGGTCAAGTTCATATGCTTAGGCATTTGGGTCCTATCCCTGATCCTCTCCTTGCCCATCTTTATCTTCCGTGAGGCCTATAAGCCACCTTTATCCAGTCTAGTTTGCTATGAGGACCTGGGTGCCAATACAACTAAATGGCGTATGGTGATGCGGGTCCTGCCCCAGACCTTTGGCTTCCTCCTGCCACTGCTGGTCATGCTGTTCTGCTATGGATTCACCCTGCACACGCTGTTTCAGGCCCACATGGGGCAGAAGCACCGGGCCATGCGGGTCATCTTTGCTGTCGTGCTTGTCTTCCTGTTCTGCTGGCTGCCCTACAACTTGGTCCTGATGGCAGACACCCTCATGAGGATCCAGACGATTGAGGAGACCTGTGAACGCCGAAATGACATTGGCCGGGCCCTGGATGCCACCGAGATTCTAGGCTTCTTCCACAGCTGTCTCAATCCCCTCATCTACGTCTTTGTTGGCCAGAAGTTTCGCCATGGACTCCTCAAGATCATGGCCATCCATGGCCTGATCAGCAAGGAGTTCTTGGCCAAGGAAGCCAGGCCTTCCTTTGTTGGCTCTTCAAGGAATACTTCTACTACCCTCTAAGACCCCCACCCCTGTTGCAACCCCACAGGGCTCTTCCCCTCCTATCAGCACCCAAGCCTTATGTCCACTGGCTATTCACAGTCTCTGTGTTAAGACAGCCCCTCATTGTGGTCACAGGAAGTTGCTGAAGCCAGGACCTTACCAGGCCCCATTGTATGTCTTAGAAAGCCTGCCCTGGTGCCCCACCCTTTACTGTAATTACTATGTCAACTGCTAGAGCTCTGGCCATCCTGCCACTGAGCCCATAGCACACTGTTCTCTGAGACATTTCAAAGGCATCCTTTTAAGTGAGTTCAAGAAGTTCCCATCCTTGGGAGCCATTAGTGGCAAGGACTGTACTTGATTCTCCAACTCTCCCTTTCTTCTTGTTAGCAAAGTCTGCTTCCCTTGAGAGAGGCCAAAAATGAGAGATACTCACTTCTTTAACACCCTTAAGCTAGGAGTGGCCATATCATCCAGTTCTGCTAGGAAGACTTATAGGGAAGAGTGTGCTGGTAAAACAGTCTCCTGGGGAAAAAGTCCTGATTTGTGGCATTTTCCAAGTTCCATGTTATAAATGCTCCCACCATAGCAATTTCAAGGGTGATGATATTTAGCAACCAGTTCACAAAATTCTAAAAAATGTAATAATCTGTTTTCACAAGCAAGTACAAACTGGCTTCAGCAAAACATTGCATAAAAGGGGTCTGGTAGGGCCAGGGGACTCCTGGGAAATATTTCTGATTTAAAAAAGGGAGACGTACCATCTTGGGTCTTGCCTTTGGGTATGGTTGTAGGACATGATGTGTGGTACTGAGGCAGCATTTTTGTGACAATGAGGTAAAAAGCCTAATCCACTTAGGCTGATGGAGCCAAAGGATAAAAAGAACCTGAGAATAAAGAGCCCAGAAATAAATCTAAGCATGAGTGGTCAAATGATTTTCATTAATGGTGCCAAGACTATTCAATGGGGAAAGGATAGTGTTTCAGCAGATGGTACTGAGACAACTAGAGATCCATATGCACAAAAATGAAATTGGGTTTTTACCTCACACAATATATAAGCATTAACTCTAAATGTATTGAAGACCTAGATGTGAGAGCTAAAATTTTTAAATTCTTAGAAGAAAATATAAGAGAAAAGCTTCATTTGGTTTGAAGTTGGGGATGGAGTGAGGTTCAGGAATGGGATTTAGATCAAGGTTGGGATTGGGATCAGGATCAGGAGTTGAGATTAGAATCAGAGATGTGGTGGTGGTGGTGCCAGGGATGGTGTGGCAGCTTGGGGTATGGTGGAGGGTCAGGGTATAGGGAGAGATCCAGAAACAGGGAAAGGCTGGCAATGATGTGAGTGAGATTTAGGGACGTTCAAGATGGTGTTGGGTCTAGATATGGAGAGAGGCTTAGGAATAGGATGAATGTGGGGGTGTGGTGAGTCTTGTCAGAGATAGAGTGAATGGTTGGGATGGGTTAGTGGCTACACAGTGGCCATTGCTATTTAGACCAGTTAGTGGCTAGAACAAAAAGCCATCACTGGTAGGGTCACCATCCTCCCTGGAGCATTGTCTAAGATGCTCTTCCAGGGCCAGGTTGGAGATGCATCTGCCTGTTCAGCTTGAGACTCTCCAAATAGGTTGGTGAGGAAGGAGTTAGGGGCTCAAGCCCTAAGAGCTGGATCTGATTATGGAGAGAAGACAGAAGAATGCAGAAATAATCCAGGGAGGAAGGCTGGGAACTGGGCCCGAGGACCTTCTTTTTCTTTCCTTCCGCCCCTGAATCTCCTTCCCACCTCTCCTACTGTATCCCCCAATGCTCATCTTCCTCCATCCCAACGCCAACTTCATCAGGGGCTTCAGTAAATTAATAAGGATCCATATTAGGTCTGGGGAAATACAAATGACTAATACATACCTGAAAAGATGCTTGTCCTCATTAGTAAATTTGGAAGTGGGAACCAAATAGCAATAAGATAACTCAGAAGTGTTTTAACAGGAGAGTGATAGAGTCAGAACTGTCTTCAAACAAGTGCACCATTGTTCAGTTAAATTTGTTAATGCAATGTGTAATTCTCTGGGTATAGCTCAAGGCATAAATGATTTGGATTTTGGATCTGTAAAAGCCAGGATGTTGGTACTGAAATAACACGGTGTATTAAAATATCAAAGACTAGTATTTCAATCACTAGATAGGGCGAAGGTCAGGGAGATGGTTCATCTCAGGGAGGAACTCAATATCCAGGATGGTGCTGAGATCAGGGATTGGGTGCATCTTAGGAGAGGAGTGGGTGGGGGTGGGGTCAGAGATGACAGAGAGTAGGGACAATGTATGAATGTAGATGTCAACAAATCTAACTCCATCTCTGTGTCCCAGATTTCCTCCATCTCTAAGTTTTCATGTTGTGACCTCTAACCAACCTTACTGTCATTAGCAAGCGTGATTATCTGTGTTCCTAAAACCTACACAACGTAGCCTTAAATATTTTTGTTACTAAGAGTGGGAATGGCATGACAACCATGATAAATATCAAAATGGTGATAGTGTTTATGATAAACAGTCATTTATCACAAGACCATCAGGAGGTATGACTCCTTGCCTGTACTGAATTCTTTGTCCTTCTGTCTTGTCCATTATATTAGTACCTGAGTTACACTATAAAAAAAGCACTGTCACAGGAATCTGTGAGTGGAGAATAGCCTGTGCAGATTGCTGAATTATCTGTCTGCTCTGACCCTACATTGCTGCAGGTAAATGACCCTATAATAAATTCTGTTATACTCTGTGGAGCTGCCTGCATCATTTCTCGGTGTTAAGATACCTTCTCGTCATGGTGGCCATTACACCTCTGCCCCACCGTCAAAGAGGTAGGATTAGGGTTAAGGACTGCGTGAGCATCAAGGAAAAGGTTGTTGGGGACAGTGGTTGGGATGTGAATGTGTGTTTTACACAAGGCTTGCTGATTTTAAAAGCTGAAAATTTGTCTTGTAGACTTGGTTGAAATGTTCCAGCCTCCAAGCAATTATGTTGAAATGTACTGTTTACCCGTATACTAGCTCCCTTTCTGACTAACCACAGTACCCTCACCATCCCTTGCCCCCTAACTGTGGCCTAGTCTTACTAGTACCAGCAAATATAATGATAATCTGGATTTTATTCCATAGAGGTTTACGATTGCCTCTTTCCCAGAAACTTGCAGTTTAATTAGGGTCTTCCAGAAGCTGAAAAATCTCATAGATGCAGGTGAAATAAAACGACTATCTCCTCTTTGGTCTTAAGGTGTTCCCAGAGATGTGTCTTCCCAGAGATGACCACTAACCAGGAAATGGTAATGGAATACAGCCTTTGCTGTCTCCACGCAGAGGCTGGAGGAGCCAAAGATCTCTTAGTTTGACCCAGAAAGCTACAAGTAGTTAACAGCTGAGCTCTCACCACCAATGCTTTTATCCATCCTGATATTCTTATTTTAAACTCAGGATCTTCCAACCTTGAGGGTAGAAATGAACTAAAGAATATGTTAACTTAGACTTTCTAAATTAGTTTTTCTTTTTATCAAAGTATTTCGTGCTCATTATTTATTTATTTTAAAACTATATCTTTATTGATTTCAGAGAGAGGGAGGGAGGGGGAGAGAGAGAGATAAGAACATCAATGATGAGAGAGTCATTGATCGGCTGCCTCCTGCAGGCCCCCGACTGGGGACTGAGCTCGCAACCCAGGCATGTGCCCTGACTGGGAATCGAACTGTGATCTCCTGGGTCCTAGGTCGATGCTCAACCGCTGAGCCGTNCAATGATGAGAGAGTCATTGATCGGCTGCCTCCTGCAGGCCCCCGACTGGGGACTGAGCTCGCAACCCAGGCATGTGCCCTGACTGGGAATCGAACTGTGATCTCCTGGGTCCTAGGTCGATGCTCAACCGCTGAGCCGTGCCTGGTTTTTTAATCCTCACCTGAGGATATGTTTATTGATTTTTTTTTTAGAGAGGCAGGAAGAGAGAAAGAGGGAGAGTGACATCAATCATGCCTGACCGGGGATCAAACCGGCCGCAACCTAGGTATGTGCCCTGACCAGGAATTGAACCCACGACCTTTTGGTGTATGGGACAATGCTCCAACCAACCAAGCCACACCAACCAGAGCTGTTTAGTTTTTATAAATATAGTTTATAATAAAAATCAGCAGCATCCCTCCCGCCCCACTCCCCATAGGCAAAGGCAACAAATTTCACCTCTTGTAGTTGTTTTATCTAATAGTGGTTTACATATTTCTAAATATCATACTTGTACTGCTAGCTTTTGATTTTCTCCCCGAGTTTTAGCTATCACCTATTGACTTTCTATTTTGGCTTCCGAGGATTTAGTACTCTCCAGACTCTCTCTTGCTTTTACCTCTGTGCAGCAAACACCAATACTGCCGGCTCTCCACTCCCATTCTGTTCTCCCAGGACACAGATACCACACTTTTTGGTTAAATCAACATTTAATGTTTTTGTTTATAATGATTATGTAAAAAAATATTTACAGTTGGGTACAATGTTTGCATTTTCTTTTTTTGTACAAGTTTTGTTCAACAATAGAATTTTCCACTTTTCATTATTTCAGTCCTAAGTGTCTTTCTTAATACATTCACTTTTGTCAGATAAACTACTGATTTTTTTCTTTTTTGGAGACCTCTCTCCTTCGTAGTCTGTTGCAATCTGGATAGATTACTCTCCCAGCTTGTTACTTTTTTACCCTAAATTGCTTTAACTACATTTCCAGATAAATTTTAAAATTTGCTTGTCAATTTATACAAAATATCCTACTGGGATTTTGTTTTGGGTTATGGTGACTCTATAGATGAATTTGGATAAAATTGGCATCTCAGCAATATTGAGTCTTCCTATTCATGAGCATAGTATCTTCAATTATTTAGATATTTAATAATTTATCTTGGAAATGTTTTATAGTTTCCAGTACATAGATTTGGACCTATTTTGTTAAATTTATCCCTAAGTATTAATTTTATGGTTATTTGAATGCTGTTA